TTTATTTTCTGTAGAGTACATTACCATGTTTATATTTAATATTTTTAAAAAGGAGGTGACAAAGTCCCCGTGATAAAAAACAAAATGTTCAACCCCCCCCATTGAAAATTCCTGAGTACGCCCCTGCGAAGCTCACTCTATGTTTATCGGTTTCCCAGTTTGAAACGTTGTTTTTATTTTTTAGCGACTTTAGCTAAATTCACAATACCTACTTTTTAAAGAACGGGCGACTATAAAAATTTAAAATGTCGGCTTGCTAGTGTACATTCTAATGTTCATGGTTTTATCAAAATGTTATCAAAATGCTTTATGCGACGACGATACGCGCGATACGTTCTAATCAGTTCCCCTCGAGATTACCGTTTTGGTTGCAGTTAATTTACCCCTTAAAAATGAATATTAAACAATATAATATTTGAAAAAAAATCTTTATGCCTATTAGTTATTACTTATTACTGCATTAGTTTCCATATTTCATATTTTCTTCAACTGTTTGAACCGATGACCTGGGACGGAACTACTTCACATTGCTTAGACTTAACAATATATTTTCATCTAAAAGTAGGTACAAGTCTTGTTTCTATAATTTACCTATTCTAAATATTGTAATTTTTATAAATATTATTCTTTTTTAATAAAACATTATATAATAAATAAGAAAAGTATAAGACATGCGTAAGTACATTTTATTTACACATTTCAATATTTGCAAGACAATTGCTTACAAAATAAATTAAGCCTTAAGACAGTATTAGGTAGGAATATAACACTTATAAGACATTATGTGTAATTTTTTTATAACTTTTAATTATTTAAATAGATATAGCATTTTTAAATATTGCACTTATTTATAAAACTTTATTTGATATTGACACTTATATACTTCTCAACAAATGTATCTCCAGTTTTCACAGATATAATAATGTATATCTTAGAACAAATAGTATTGATTATTTTTTTTTTTTATCTTTTTTTCTAAAAAGTAATAAATTATTCAATCAATGAAATGAATAATGCAGTTATATTCTTTGTTAAGTGTTTTTGCAAGAGAGTACAATAAATTACAACCATCATATTTTTTCGTGTGGATTAAGGTACCTATTGTAAATGTCGAATGAAGCACAATCATCAGATTTTTTACTTGATAATAATTTTTCCTTACAAGTCTTATGATACATCTAATAATAATAAATAATTTAGATTGGTAATTTTCATAACAATGTGTAATTAAATAATACACCTTATTATACATCTCATACTCACATATAACTATATTATAATATAGACACCTTATTATATTATTATTTTTTGACAAAAACTAATTACCTATACTTGAATGTATTAATATGTATTTGAACATGAATTCTCTAGTAAAATACATTTTGTTTACGACCGTAGTCAAATTGCCTATTATTTGAATGCATAGTTACGGTTTTGAATTTAAATTTTTTTTTAATTCTTTTTTGTTCGTCATATGTTCTTACTTTTAACATATTCAAAGATGCATTATGGCCTAAACAAAAATAAAGACTCTTGTTATATTATCTGTATTGTGTTTATTTATAAAACTTAGATCTTTTTTAAAACATTTTCCTTTTTATTATAATACAATTTAATTTTTAATTTTGCTCAAAATATGATGAATTGTAGCCATTAAACTTGAGAAAATATTCTAAATTTTTTTAAAAACATTTATTTAATATTAATTGTTCCAAAGAATATCAGAATATTATTCTTCTATTTTCTTTTTTGCTTCAGAATCTTCGAAATCTTTAATTAATTCGTCACAATTAAGATAGTCTATGGGTTCCCAAGAATTGTATCTTCGAGAGTAGCCAGTCCACTTAAGTAAGTATTCTATCTTATTATTTGTGAATCGACGTTTTAATATTCGATCTACAGAATAGAATTTTGATGTTTTCTCTTCTGCATCAGAACTAGATTCTTCGTTGTTTACAATAAATTCTTTTGATCTGGAATAAAAAGAAATTATAATGTAAATAATAAATTATCAAAATAGATGTATCATTAGTTTTAATGTTATTTGCTGCAGATGACACAAAAAAACCGCAAGTAGATTATGATCCATTGACCATTACCACTGTAGATTATAGAGGTATACGCACAGCCGTATATTCATAATGCACACAATATTCCTCGTGGATGTGTTTGACTCAAGAATTAACCGGTAGATCGCGCTGCAGTCTAGTGGCCCTAATTTTCATATGTACAATATTGGATACATACAATAGATATAAAATGTCTCATTAAAAATAAGAATTGCAAATAAATAAAAAAGACATATACCTATTAATGTATTTTAAATTATAAACACAAACATTAACAAAAAATAACATAAGAAATAAATTTGTTTTCTTAAATGAATTAGAAAAAAAGAAATGAATATTATGGATAGTACCTATATAATAATAATAATAACAATATCAAATATAATTTTGCTTAAGACAAAATGTATACATAATAATACAAATAAGAAGTTCAATTACAATATAAATAGATATGTGCTTAATGCTTATGTAACACATAGTTTAGATTCTTTTTTTTTTGTCTCTTGATTTCTTTTTACATGACCGATTTTGTTCCCGTTCATATTGTCTCATTCTCATACGAATATAATAATGTAAGGAACTTGCAATAACACTGCTTTTATGTTCATTGCATGGAAATTTTAAGTTCACATTTATAATAATATCTGTGAGTGTTTTTTCATAACAAAATCCGAGTAGATTACATTTTTTACAAAAAATTTCTCAGCATTTAAGAAAATATCATATAAATAAATATTGCAATTCAATAAAAAACCTTTTGTTTTCATACTTACAAGTTCTGCCACAGCTAAATTGGAAGTATCTAGGTTGGTTAAAAAGGAACTAAGACAAGTCTCGCATTTTGTAGTCTTAAGTAGACGACGGCACAAATATCCTGAAGCATAATAAATTACAATTTCCACTAGTTCTGGTGATTTATAATTATTAGCTATTAAATCTTCTCCTTCCCAATCATCATATTCTACAATTGTATCTAAACGATTTTTTAGTTTTTGAAGGACAGTACTACCAGTTTCACCTCCAAAAATGCTTTTATAGTCATCAAAACTTATAGTGCTCTCCATTAGTTCATCATTATTGACTGAACAGTTACCAAATTTTGGAGGTTTTAATAATTTATAAGTTGATATAAGACGATATAACTGTTGGAACGTAGGCATTGCAGGATGGTCATTTTGACAACCAGCTTGTATTGTACCAAAAAATTGCTGAAAAAAAATTATAAATTATAACATGTTCAATTTTTAGAATTAAATAAACATTGCAATTAAAAAGGTGACACCAATTATATATTATATAATTGTTGACTTATAATAAACATATATTTTATGGTGCATAAGTCAAATATTAAATAATTTACTGCAAGAAAATTAAATACAATAGATAGTTTTTTTAATACTTTACCCACAAAATATAAGATACAATTAATATCTTGTATTTTTAAAATCATGGCTGATTATAATACACCATGATTAAAATATACCCTTTGATTTAAATCACAGAATCAGGTAAATACTGTTACTTATTGAGATTAGTTTCAAACACGGTAGATAGGTAGATCTTAGAATCTACCGTGGTTAAATTACAGATTTTTAACAAACTCTATAATTTATTGAAAATAATCTTTTTAAGTCCTTGTGTTATATGACATTAATTCATCTTTGTTTATCAATTCTTATGATTTCAAAATCAAATAGGCTGTAAAATAAATTAAAATAATAAATAAAAGTATTCAGTTAAGTACATAGTAAATATTATTGTAAAATTGAATAATTCAATAATTCAATCACAAAATATGTGTAAATACTAATAATAAATATACAAATGGTAGAATAGATTATAACCACAATAATTAAAATTAAATAAATATGTACATTTAGTTTTGAGAACTTAACATATTAACACAATATTATAAATGTGACTTACTTCAATTTTATCTTGATTATCTTTTGAAGTTAAAACATAGTCAATCCCAACACTATGAAGGTATTCAATCAAATCAACTGTTGAATGAAGAGTAACTCTAAGACCCTCAGCTGTTTCCTTTGTTAAAAATTGTTCAAGTGTAATAATTTCGTTTGAAACCTCCAATTCCCAACTAACTGTATGCCAAGCTATACAATCTTTTATAGTCTAGAATAAAATATATTGGTATGGTATAATTATCAAACTATTACTATAGCAAATTTTAAATTAAAAAAAATAATAATAATAAGAAAACATTATTGTTATAAAACAGAGTTTTGCTCACATTAATATCAGGACTATCGTGTTTAATTCCTTCTCTAGGATAACGTCTGTTGAGGCAATCAAATAAATTATTCAAAAATAATGAAAATTTAGCAGTTGGTTCACTATCTTCCAGTTCTTCAGTAAGACGCTCTCTATACATATTTAATCCTATGTAAACTGACTTACTAAATATCTAAAATTAAATGAATTCTTTTAATATAAGAAAAATTTATCATAATTATAATAGAAAAATAACCTGTGTCATAAATGATACTCTCATTTTGGCAAAACTACATGGGTTAACATGTGATTCGGTAAGTTTTGGACATACCCTTGTATTACCTGGTAGATTATTTTCTTCATTATAAAGAATTTGGTAATGCTTCCAACGAACTAATCCAAAGCTAGTCTAAAAAGAAAAAAATATAATTTTATACTATGGTAGATTATATCTACTATAATCTTCAATGATTATTTAGTAACAAATTGATTAGTAGGTTATAGATACCATAAGCTCTTTTGCTAGAAGGCGATTGCGAATGCATTTAAATATGTGTGGTGTATCTGAAAGTACAAATATTTTTCTATTCTTGTCGTGAGGATTATTGAAAAAATATTTTACCGCACCAAGTTCACCAGTTATTCCAAATTCTTTCCACATCCGTCTATTTGGTTTAGCTCAATCACATATTATCCCTGTTACTTTAGCAGTTTAGCACCAACATGTTCAAGTAATAGGATTGCTTGAACTATTAATTTTGCCAAAGTCACACCATTGGTAGCACCTTTAGCAGCAAAGCATCCAATAGGTTGGAAGTAGTTTTCACAGAGAGAAGAAAAACCAAATACTAAAGCATGGTCAGCCAAAGCTTCATTTTTTGTACTAGCAATATCATCATTACCAAAGTCTACCACAACTTGATATCGAAGAGTTTTTGGATCAGTCTTCAATGACTTACGAACACTCATTTCGTTAAAACTAAGAACACCATACTTTTGTTGTTCAGTTTTTAAATTAATTTTTTTCTTGAACATTTCAAAGAATGCCGGATCAAATCCAAAATCCAATTTTACCAAACTAAGATGCCTTTTAATAGTTTGTACACAAGGGAGTGGAAAAATTTCATTTTTTAGCATAAATTTATACATTGCAGGACTACGAATCTGCATAAGCAAGCAAGTAAGCAACCAATCATTTGAATACCTCCTACTTGTTTTGGAATTAAATTTTCCAATTCGTAAACATTCATTTATTACCATACCTTGTGCATAATTCAAATTGAGACGTTTTATATGCTGTTGTATAGTTTCTTCTGAAATACTATCAATTTTATACTTGTAGGATTTGACCATTTCTTCAAGTTGATTATTTTTGTGTAATAATCGTATTCTGGACTTTCTAATAGCCTGGCGGGTGCGAATTACTTTTTTTCTCTTTCCGGAACTTAATAATGTAGACACTGACTTATTTTAATATCATGGGGTTATATCTGGCTACCATCCCTGCTAGTTTCGTGTAAAAATACTAAAAACCCTGTGGGCACCGAGCTGACGGCTGAAGTCTGGCCGATCTAGCCGCAATCACCTGGTAGAGATGCAAATAGTACATTAGTAAATTAATTAAACATCGAATAATAGGACTACCGACTTGAAACCTACACTGTTAGATGTCAAATATTCCTGGCTACCATCCCTGCTAGTTTCGTTAATTGCTGATAATAAACATATAAATAAACAGTCAAAAAAAAAAAAATCAGCTTACAAAAATGAAATAAAAACAATTGTGTCCAGTTTAACTTTTAAGAGTCTTATAGGTATTGATAATTTTAAGTAAGTACTGGTAAAGAAATTAAAGATCGAACATTTTTTTTTAATTTGTAATTAATACTCCTTACAGTTCTGCGAAAAGTACAACAAATTTAACAACAACGTATCATGCAGATTGTAATACAAATAATGTAATTGTGATGGGACAAGAATTAAATAAATTATTATTTCTGTTAGAACACAACATCATTACCCGAAAATTGTGGGACATTGTTCAAAATATGTTTGATAATTTTATTTTTTTACCAAGTAAAATGAAGATGTTACATACACAATTGTTTTCAATGTTCATGTTTCCGGATTTCACAGCATACAATTATGAGTAAATATACACATTCATAAAATACATTAATATGTATACATTATTGTATTTCATTGGTATTTAATATTTTCAGAAAACAAAATCCTGATATTGGATATATTTTAAAAAACATTATAAATTCATTCGTAAAATGTACAATTATGAAATAATTAATATATGTTACATATAGCTATATTCTCTGAAGACAATATGACCCATATTGATAATTGCGACATTATATATTATACAATTATTGAACATCGTTTTAATGAAATGTGTGTCAATTTACAAAATATCTCAAAAAATTTATATTTTTATTTTTATTTAATAACGTAAGTTTTAACCCTGTCACTTTTTTTTGCCTATTTAAAATATATTTATTGTATATTTTTTATATTTTACAGAGAGGACCAATATAAAGAATTTTTAAACATTGTTGTTGATGAAAAAACATTTAGTTATAGTAGGTACTAATGATACCTGGCATAATAATAATACCTTTAATGTTATCGACGTTTTAATTTTGGGTATAATAAAGTTGCATAATGAATAATGATCATACCAAAAACGAGAAATATTCAACGGTAATCATTGCTCTAAAATACAATAGTAGTAATAGTACTATATGGACTATTATATAGTAGTATTAAATTAATAGCATTGAACTAACCTAATTTTACTTTTTTTTCAGGCCACACATTTATATAATACTTTTTTATTATTTTCAAATATCCTTCATTTAAATTTTCAGACTTATAACAATAAACAATCATTCCGAAATATACTTAATTCTCTTACTAAACAAAAAACAATATTTAAAGAAAACAATACAAAAAAGTGCATATTCATACTTCATCGATTATGAAAACGAAACAATAATATCTATAATAAAAAAATCTTATCTCTTTGACTACATACAAAAAATTAACCAAGACACCATTTTATTTTATTCGAAGAAATTAAATTTAAAAACAAAACTCTTTAACAATTCAATCAAATTTCCCTCATCAATACCCACTAATAATATAAACAAAGATGACACCGGTTTCAACATTAAATTTTCATAAAAATCATAAAAAATGCATTCCAACAAACCAATTTTATGGAAGGTAACTATTTATTATCATATATTAGCCAACTATCAATTTCCAATTGTTAGGTACTATAAATTTTATGTATTTTGTTTTAGATCCATTATTCCTGTCGTGGAGTCAATTTATTTACGTCAAATCGAATAAAAATATTGAATTTACACATCGTATTATTTTTTCTTCCATGTCCTACATATAACAAATAATATTTAAACCGTTTCCAACGCTAAGGGCCAGTTGTACCACAGAACAATACAGAAGCGACACTCTGCTTGGTGGTCGATCTCTGGTGGTTTAGTGTTGAAGTTGTAAATGATTACCTGGTGGTTTAGGAGTGTTGTTACGAACGATTCTTTTTTTTACAATAAACGGTTTGTTGTTTGTTTGCGTTTTAATACTATAAGTTATAACCTAACCGTTCTATGCCTATATGGCTTACGGCTACCCAACAACAACTATTAACTTATAATTTTTCGCATTTCACGTTCGCGGTTCGCCATAAATTATAAATTATAATATAATTTATTATCATTTCTGTGTTATCATAATGGTATCAAGTATGGTATCAACCCTTCTACCTATCGACTTGATATTAACGCAGCACGATACTAGTACCCTGAGGTACCCTCCCCCCAATTATACAAACATTAAAAACCCTGGAGTCCAGGAACGGATGGCTGGATATTGTCGGAGATTGTACACGCGTACTCGCAATTGCCAAAGTCAATTCGCATGATATTGAACCTTATGATCACGTATGCCACGCCCTCCTGAAGACAATGTTCAAGGCCACAATCGCCTGGTTCGGCCAACGCACGGAGTTTCGTAAACCTGATAAAACTTATTTGAATTAAATACATTTTCTTTTTCAAACTGAATGATAAAATTACGTTTTGATATAATATCATGTAACAAAATGTATATTCAAAATTATTTTTATTTTAAATTTCGTGAGTTCAAATCAAAACGTGTTATTGCCGGAAAAAGCACGTTTTGTACTGACCGTTAGTGATAGTGGGCAAAACGCAATATTGCCGGTGTTTAATTCAAAATGTGGTATTGCCGGCAATACCACATTTTGGCTTGTGAACACTTTTTAAAAGTATTAAAACTAAGTTTTAAACTCAAAATAGATTTATTTTGACACCGCCAATCGTTTTTTTTTTCATTTTTTTTTCATTTAATTACATCAATTACAAGTTGTTCATTCATGTCATAGAACTTGATATAGTTTTTCTTAGTTTGTGAACATTTTGATTTTTGGCAATACCACGTTTTGGATTTTCGCCCTTCAATTACTATATGATTTTACAGATACATGGTGTACAGTACAGTAATGTTTTCCCATCAGTGTTTGCATTATTACCAAATAAAATGGAATCTACATATTGTCGCCTATTCGAAGCATTGAAATAAATAAAACCTGAATTTAATCCGGACACGATTATGATTGATTTGGAGAAAGCGGCCATGAATGCCATTTCAAAAACATTTCCAGTTACAAAAATTCGAGGTTGTTTTTTTCATTGTACACAGTCTGTTTGGAGACACGTTCAACAAGCTGGACTTCAACAAAAATATACTGAAGATTCAGAATTCGCTCTACAAATCAGAATGATGACTGCCCTTAGTTTTGTACCTGTAGCTAATGTTGAACAGGCTTTCAATGATTTGATGGATACTAGTTACTACACAACAAATGAAGAACTTTTAACTCCAATGGTTAATTATTTCGAAGATACGTGGATTGGTCGGATGGACCGTAGGAACAGAAGAAAGCCAGCCTTATTCCCGATCAATTTGTGGAACTGTTATGCTTATTTAGCAGAAAACATTCCAAGAACAAACAATTCTGTCGAAGGTTGGCATAATAGTTTTTCATCCACATTAAATGTAATTCATCCTAGTATTTGGAAGTGTATTGAGGCGTTTAAAAAAGAAGAATCATTAAGTAAAATCCATGTTGAACAGTTTATAGCTGGGCATTCAATGGGCGTTAAAAGAAAATACAATGACTTTGCTGAAAGGTTAAAAAATGTGTGTGATGACTATCATAATAGAATAACAGAAGATAACTTAAGAGGCATAGCCCATCATTTTCAGTTAAATGTTTGATTATTTATGTAGATAGTAATTTATTGTAATATTATTTTATTTTTTTTGGACAATATGTAAATGTATTTGCATAAACTAATTTATAATTTTTAATTAAATGAACAATAATTATACTATTATATTATTATTTACTCATTAATAAATTTTACTATATCCACGACGAATTGTAACCGCGGTGAATTGTAAATACGGTGAAATGTTGACGGTGAATAGTCGCAAGGTAAATTATCACGCGATGAATTATCCGCGATCCAAATTTTTGTTTGGACCTATTTGTAAGAAAAATTAAATTTGAACTCATCAATCACAATCATTTTTTTCCACGTTTACTTGTTATACATTCCATAATATAAAATTCCATTATATTCAATAGTTTATCTACGTATATTATTCACGCTTCACTCGGACGCGGCTAAATGTTGTAATATTTGGTTAAACAGTACTGACAGATCCGATCACAGAGCTCCGATCCCGATAACACAGACACTGTTGATATATCTACACGTGATATAGGTTAAATCGATTTATATTTATTTATAATATTATGTAGGTATCTCTATGTTTAAAATCAATTATCTCTTTATGATATCTTAAAATATTAAATAGTTTATCAGCATAAGTATCATATATTTGGCGGAGATGAAAGTCGAACCTTTATCGTTTTGGCGGAAACAAAAATCGGGTTTTTTTGGCGGAAACGACTGACGCCCGAAAGAGGATGTGCTTTACATCCCACGCATTTGAGAGGTATTGTTTGTTACATAGTATTAGTCATGTGCTTAATTCGACCCGCCACCCGCAAGCGAACGGTCAGGTTGAACGGGTGAACCTTAACATCCTGCACACTACTGAGTCTCTACGACCGATCAACGTAATTGGGATACGAAGGTGCGCGAAGTCGAGAGCCACCTCAATTCAGCGATAAACAAAAGCACTTCGAAAACACCATGCGAAGCACCTATACGGGTACCAACCACGGTATCAAGGAGGGAACTTTGAGCCGAACCAATAACGATAGGACGAAACCGTCGGAACAACATGCCAAGGTACATGACACAATAGTGCAACGACAATACGATCGTGTACATTTTGATATTGGTGAAAAAGTCGTCATGTTAAGGCAACCTGAGCTCGGACAGTTGAAGAAATTGCAGTCTAAGTGCACTGAGCCGCCGATGCAGATTATAGAAGTCCCCCGGCAGAAACATACCATGTGGCTGAACTAGCGTCCGATGGTAAGTTAGCCTATGCAACGACTGCTCACGCGTCTCAGCTCAAGTCGTGGAAGGTACTACATGAAGAGCAGTCCGATTTGGAAGATGGGGTAGGTACTAACGAAGGTGAAGATAACCCTGGCGATGAGGAGGCGACCGGGGACGATGGCAACTTGGATCCAGTAAATCCATCCAACGACTCAAGACGAGCGAAGAGGACAAGGAGACCACTCGGACACCTCCAAGACTATGTATTGGATTAGTACATAAAAAGCCAAGGGCGTATATTTACTTATTGTTTTTTATTGTTAACCTTGGGTTAAGTTTTTTTTTTTAAATTTGTTTTTTTGTTACTAGCACTTGATGTTCACTGTAAGTTGACAGACGGCCCGTGGACGGACCGTAGAGTTGGATGGCCGAATGTTAGCAATTGGCTACACTGCTCGATAAGACGCCAGGCCGCGGCCCGGTGCTGTATACCTGTCCCCAGCAGTAGTATGCGCTCAACCGCGGTGCATGACGTTCAGTGCTTCAACTTGCCACTGCCGTTCTTTTTATATTACATATTGTTTCGTCTATCGCGAGTCACGACGTACCGTTTTAATTGTTACTAATTTATCGAAGTTGACTTTAAATAAACTGTTAATTACCTTAACAATAACCGTGTTCTATCCTGACAACCCCCCGCTAACACGAGATTCTTCGAAAGTTGATTTTCTACAGAAAAAGTGCATAATATGGAAACCAGACAATAAGATATATGTATGTGTTTACTTACTCGATACTATTCTTAAAGATGTATTATGATTTTCTTCTAATTTTTGTAAAACAATTTGAGAATATTCTTCTGTAGTTTTGGTACATTTCCTATTTTTATTTTTATTGAAACTTCCAGTAGCATTTAAGTTTTTTTTCAATCTTAAAAAAATACTTGAACTAGGAACTTGCCTCTCAAGTCCAAATCGTTGGTTATACAATAGAGCGGCTTTCCTTTTACTTTTTCCAATTTCTATAAAGCATGACCACATATCCATTTTTTCAGTTATAGAAAAGAACATTGTAGTTGATTTAACGTTGAAACAATTTTTGTGGTTAACAACAAATTAAAATATTTATTTAATATTGAGGAATCCAGAGGATTAATTCAACTGAGAACCGACACAATATGAAAACCGAATAATACTGTTCATTTAGGAAATAGATACCTTTATCTTTTGTATGTGAAATATGTCATATCCATCACTCTATCAATTCTGTGTTAAGGTGATATAATACATATATGTAGAAATTATCAAAAGTTGTCAATTTAGAAAAACCAATACTTTATAGTTTATACATATTATGCATTATGTTTTATATTTAAGAAGATATTAAGTTGTATAATTTGTTAATTTATTTAAGTTTATTATTTGTTAATTATACATAATACATATGTATTTATTTAATATAATTTATATTTCTATATCAGATTGATGAGTTATAACTAGTAAATTACAATATAAATAGGTTTTTAAAAACAATATGGCGTATCTTAATTACTATAGCAAATGATTATATTGAACAGATAATATTTATTCATTTTAAAACAAAGTAAATCAACAATTTCTATGTATTTAGAAAAATAATTCATAAATATAGATACAAATGTATAATTTATGTACTTGGATTCAGGATTTAGAACCAAGACTAAAGTAGTTAAGGGTCTATTCACATATTCCTTTTTTTTTTAAGTTATACATTTTTACAATGCCCCTATAATTTAAGGATTTCATTTCATTAAAAATTAATAATTACAAATCAATCTGTGTATACAAAAAAAAAAAAAAAAAATAGAATAGGGAAGTCATTTTGATTACACAATAAAGTGACACAACAAATAACCTACATCAGACTGATATTACAATGTTTTTTGCATCGAGGAAGGGAGTCCTGTATTGTCAATCTGATGCGGGGCTATAGACCCAGAGTCCGTTGTTCATAGTGCCTACCCGACTTTCCATTTACAAATATTAGGTAGGGGAAACCTGGGTAAGACGGTACATCGGGTAAGATGGTACATCGTATTATCTCAACATAGACCTATAAAGAAATGGACTGATAACAGAGAGAGAGATCCAGGGGCCAACATTGTTAGAAAAAGATAGCATACAACTTGGGCACCATTTACACCAATTAATAAAAGAGAGAGGGAGAATAGTTCAACAACAAAGATAACAACATTTTTAGAAAAAGATAGCATACACCTTAGGTAGTCGGGTCACATTACATTACACATGTATTGACTATCTCTTTCTAACAATCTTATTTCAATAAACTTAAGGCAGGGTGTGGGGGAGTAGCAGTCCATATCTTATTATGTCTATGTATCTCAATAACTAACATACCTACGCAATATCTCTCGGGAACACTTTTTTTCAGTGTTGGTAACACTGTTATTATAACGTTTCAAATTAATGATAACTATGTTTGATAAAGAAAACAAGATGATTTTAAAAAAAGTTGTTTGACAATGTAAATTTTCCTCATCACACCGTAGTTCTTGGGTAAGTATATATTTAATTATTTTTTATTCTGGTACACTTTTATTGTAGTAAATTTTATTGCGCATTTATTGGTTTTAGTTGTAATACACTGCGATTGATATTTTTGATTTTGAATGTACTCAAGTAATATAAAGCAGCGGTTCTTAATCATAGGGTCGCGACCCAATTTTGGGTCGCCAATAATTTGAAATGGGTCGGCTAAAATTTAAAACGTTGGTATAATATTTTTATTTTTAAGCCTTATAATATAAATAATAAATGAAACCGTTTTCGTAAATTCACAGTATTGATAATTGGTACAAAGAAGCTTATCAAATTACATTCGTTTCCGTTAATGGCAATCGATAAAGTATATTTATAGCTATAAGTTACAGTATTCGATAAGTTTTTGACCAGCATTTTTCTTAGAATCAACTATCAATGTTGTGAACGTCGTATGGTACTTATTCGTGTAGTCGTGAGGTTAACGTCAACCTACATGTACCCAGTGCGGAATAGTCGTTAGCATTAATATAATATTATTCGTAAATAGACTAATAATTTTGTATTGTGTATTAAACATTTATAATGAGTAAACAGACATCACTTTCATCTTTTTTCATAAAACCTGTGGTAGTTAAAAATAATGAAAATGAAAAGACGGAATCAAATTCAAATGAACAAGAAATAAAGAAGGACGAAATGCCTAGAAAAAAGGTAAAAATTTCAATGAACTACACATATAAATACATTGATAAATATATTGGTTATGGGTTTACTTATATAAATGAAAACGGAGTAGATTTGCCACAATGTGTTATTTGCGGTAATGTACTAGCAAATGCTTCTTTAAAACCAAATAAACTTTTACGGCATCTTGAAACTAATCATAATGAATACAGAAATAAAACTACAGATTTTTTTTTAAGAAAACGTGATGAGTTAAAGATAAATAAAAAAAATATTAAATCATATACAACAGTTGACAAGGTGTATTTAAAATGTTCTTTTATTGCAGCTATGCATATTGCTAGGACAGAAAAGCCGTATAATATTGGTGAAAAATTAATTAAACCTTGCATGGTCGATATATGTTCAGAACTATTCGGTAATGAACACGTCTCAAAAATAAAAAATATCCCCATGTCAGATGACACTATTCATAAACGAATTCTTTGTATTGCTAATGATATCGAATATCAGCTCGTCGAAAAAATAAACAAATCTTTATTTTATGCCATCCAGTTGGATGAATCAACGGATATAAGCAATTCAGCTATATTATTAATTTATGTAAGGTACATTGATGATACATTTAACGATATAAAAGAAGAGTTTTTATGCACCTTAAAGTTGAAAACATTTACTACAGCAGATGAAATTTTCAAAACAATGAATAGTTATATGATATCTAAAAATATTAACTGGGCTTCTTGTATTGGGATTTGTACAGATGGCGCAGCGTCTATGACAGGGATACATTCAGGTGTAGTATCACGCGTTAAGGAAGTAGCACATGCACATCTAATTTCCACTCATTGCTTTATACATCGAGAACAATTAGCTGTAAAAGATATGGGTGAAAATTTCAATGATATTTTAAACCAATGTACAACAATTATAAATTTTATTCGTGCAAGAGCTATTAATTCTCGTATTTTTTCTGTCATGTGTAAAGAATTTGGTTCAGTTTATAATAATGTATTATTTCATTATCATATACGTTGGTTATCACGGGGAAAAGTTTTAACGAGATTTATTGAATTAAGGACTGAAATAGAAGTATTTTTAAGAGAAAAAAATTCACCGTTATCCGACCATTTTCAAGATACAATTTGGTTGGCAAAAGTTACGTATCTTTCAGATATATTATCGTTATTAAATGAGTTAAATTTGAGTATGCAAGGGCCATTAACTAATATTTTTACATGTTATAATAAAGTTGAAGCTTTTCTAAAGAAACTTGATCTTTGGATAAAACGAATTCAGGAAAATACATATATGTTTCCATCATATTATAATATGACTGAAGAAAAATTATTAAAAAAAAATGAAATTAATGTAATGCAATGTGTAATTAAAACACATTTGTCGAAATTAAAAAATAAATTATTAAAGTATTTCCCACCATCTCATGATATTCGATCAAACAATATGTGGATTCTTAACTCGTTTTTGCCCTGTGAAAATCATGAATTATCTTTATTAAATGAAAGCCAACTATTAGAATTATCGTCAGATAAATTATTAGAACAATCTTTTAACACTAAAAATTTAAACCAATTTTGGATATCTTTAAGAAATGAGTATCCTAATCTTTACGAAGAAGCATTAAAGAAATTAGTTCCTTTTGCAACAACATATTTATGTGAATCCGGATTTTCGACATTAACTACGATCAAAACCAAAGCAAGAAATAAGCTTGATGTCGAACCCACGATGCGTATTTCACTTACTAACTCCATAGAAGCTCAAATTGATTCATTGGTGAAGCAACATCAAGACCAAGGGAGTCATTAAGTTCTTCATTATTTAAAAAAAATATTTAAATTAAAAATTATTTAAAAAAATATGTACAATACAATTATTAAAAGAAATGTTTATTTTTAAATATAATTTAATTAATATTATGACCTGTTATTAGTACAAGTAATATGAGTAAAAAAAAATATTAAATTAAGAGTACCCAATAGTTATTTTTATTCTGCCATTGAACATTATTTTATAAAAAGGTCGCATGAAAAATTTGGTAAATATCTTGGGTCACCACTACACAAAGGTTAAGAACCGCTGATATAAAGCACAAGGAGGCAAGATGGGACATTTTATTAGGTGTAAGATGGGACGTCCCATCTTGTCCTCACTTGGTATTTACTATTTTGTAATAGTGCAATATCAAGATAGGTACTGATATTTTTAATCTCAAGTTTTCCTCATTAAATATTCTTTCTACATTTGTTGCCAAGCATTAATAATAGTTATATATTATGTTTAAATAATTATTAAGGTACCTATAATAAAGAAACATGGCAAAAATAAGGAAAAGAGTTACATCTAGGCAAAACTGGGATTCCGACTCAATAAACAATGCTGTTTTAGCCATCATCAATAAAAGTCAAACCTACAGAGAAGGTATTTACAATTTTACCCAACACATAATAGTATACAATACATATATTATTGAAAATAATTCAATAAAATACATGAATATATAATTATACATACATAATAATGAAACAAAAAGTAAATTACTTTGTTTTATCTAATTTTTATTTCAGTACATTAGTCTAATAAAATGTTCAAAATTGCCCCAGTTATTTTCCAAACATATTTCCAGTCGTCGAGTTACTTTTGTGAGTAGCTGACAAAATTATTTTAAACTTTCAAAACTCTGTTAGCCTGTAACTTGGTCAATTTTGGGTTTAGGATTATGGTCAATGGATCAAAATGTATTAGAAAAAAATTATCTACCCATATCTGGTGTCAAAAATAAGGGTCGATATTAAAAAAAAACATAAGTTGTATTGCGCATGTGAACCAAAGGAGATAAACATTTTAAATTGTCCCAAATTTTACACTACGGTCCAACCTATCTATAACAGCAAACTGCTTTTAAATCGAAGGCCATCAGGCTGAGATATTTTGTGGTACATATAAGACGGGACACGCTGTATACCCATATCATAAAATATCACGGCTGGGCATTAACGAGTTAAAAGTTAATTTTATTTTAATAAAAGGAGGAGCATTAAACACTTGTTTACCGCTCCGCATATATTCATTCATTCACTTTCATTCTAAAAATCAACAATAAAACCAATTTATATAAAAATTAGTCATTTTAAATTTCTTTTTTAATTAACGTAAAATTGACGAATTCATTTTTCATTTTAAGTAGTAAGTTGCCCCTCTGTATCGTTTAATAATAACAGTAGGTAGAAAAAGACAGTTCTGGAACCTCATCCTGCTGGCAATTTCCTATACCCGTCTGCTCATCCCACTACACCGTCTGCTCATCCCACTATACCCGTCTGCTCATCCCACTATACCCGTCTGCTCATCCCACTATACCGTCTGCTCATCCCACTATACCCGTCTGCTCATCCCACTATACCTGTCTGCTCATCCCAATACACCGACTGCTCATCCCTATACATTGACGGCTGCTGAACCCACCATATATCACATACGTTAACGATGTACCCCCGCCACCCCACCACCTATGACCACCGCGCGTGGAAAATAATTTAAAAATTTATCCGCCGGACCGTGATTCGAACCCGGTAACTTGCATGATAAGCGACAACCGTACCACTGGGCCGCCTACTCGCATCTGTTTGAGAAGGTATATTCTATCTCATTTAACCGGCGTCCGCTTACGTACGCGAGGTATAATTTCCCCCACCACTATACCATTTATCCCCTCCCGATTAACCTGTAGGGACTTTTCGATGTCTCCCCCACCAATTAATATTTAATTTGCTCGTTTATGAACACAACTACACAACATAAAATAATTTCCCCCGCCACTATACCATACCAAGAGCCGCCGCGAACGCGCGCGCGAGCCCTCCGGTGCGTTATCAGTTATCACAGTGACTTTAACACAAAATAATCTACTGGTATATTTTTAACAATAAACGTTCATCACATTCCTTTCGCCGCCACCGCCACCTCCCCACTTCACCACCCAACCATAGATAGCCCGCTACCGACACCGCCTCCCCCCTACTTCACCACCAACACCACCGTCAACAGCCCGATCGCGTACGTGTGCTACTATGCGTTATCATATATAACCGCGAGCAGTTCTGCCCTAAACTGATATCACTTATCACATTACTGTTACCAAATAATAATACGAGTGCACATATATAACAGGGTATCCGCATATAATTGTGCAACACACTACCTTTATTATTATATATATATATACATGTAAATGCTGAACACATTATTTACCTAATCCCCACTACCAAACACATTATACATAAACCCCCACTACATACATGGTTTAACAATTAATACTCTATCGTGTGAATATTCAGTCTCAGTTTTGATTTAACAGCGTCAAGTTGTAAGTCTCAGTATATTGCTTATAAATATGGCAGGACCAATAAGTGAAATGAAACGGGTATACAATTATGTTGCACCTACATCTCCACATGAACTCATGGATTGCTCTAATTTTACAATTGACTTTAAAAATCGCAAATTCTTGAACATCGGATTCGATCCAAAAGATCAGTTCAATATCGTTTTGCAAATAATTACACCGTCACGGTATGTAAAAATTTCATCAGACTTCTTGAAACGAATTTATTCAGTCATGGGCCATGTTTTGTCACACGTTCTCGATCCTGTTGTAAAATATAAAAAAATTATTTTTTTGGAAGATGAAGTCGCTTTGCTTACAAGTATGGTGTATAAAGGAGAGCATGTGTTGGTTATAGAGTCAAAAACAACAAACGGATGTAGAATCATATTAAGTCGTAGAGATCTTATGACAATTCAAGATTTAGAGTGCGCCATTTTTGAAACAATTTCAAGAAAAAACGATATCGTAAAACCTATTATTTTAAATCAACTCGAACAAATATCCGAATACTTTAATACTGATTTTAATATTGATAAATCTGTGACACTGGAAGAAGTAAAAACAATAATCAAAGGAATTGATATCGAGTTAATCGCAATGCATGTACCGAAGCACAAACATAGTTTTATAAGCCAGATCAAATTATTCGCAACTGAACAGCTAGCTATCAATTGGATGACGATGAATTTGCCAAAAGTAATAATATATATATATATTAAAAAAAATTATTTAACATATGCATTCAATTAGGCTGTGGATGAAAATGATGATGATGAACTGATAAAATTTCTCCCGCCTACCCAGAGGAGGCCTGAAGCAAACGATTTAAAGGTAATAATATATAAGTTTTTTTTATTATGATTATTTATTTTCTATTTATTTTAGTATTATACGGAGACCTTTGACGTGGAAATGCTGCAGCCATCCCCACCAAGATACTCAAGTATGTCTCCATTAATGACATATAACGAAGACGATTTATCACAGTCACGAGTAATTTAAAATTAAAATAATAAAATATTTAAGTATTAAATGTAATTTAATTTTTAGGCAGCTGACGAGGAGAGAAGGTTCAAGGAAAGTAGTATAATAGGAAAATTCCTTATTATATAAATCCGTACAGTAGTCAGTAATATTGTAAAATAATATTGTTTACTGCAGATTGTTGTAATATATTGTGTAAAATAAAGAACTAAAGAAAAAACATTAAAGATATGGTACATTATCACACATATCTAAAAATATTAGACCATTTTAAGATTATAATCCCATTCGAATAACTAACATAAATTATATCCAAACAATTAATAATTATATACACATCATTATCACAACCTCCTGAACATATTATACAATTTTCATAATATATACGATACATAGGTATATTTTTACATATAAATATGATATGACCAAACACTTACAAACTATAATATACTATGAAACACACGATACCATACGGTACTCATCAGTTTTCATTCTGAACACACGCTCAACATAAATATTATATACCTTATCATACATATATACATACATACATACATACATACATACATACATACATACATAAAAATAGTATACAATTTTCTTATTATATAATTACATACGAAAAAACGAATCGCTAAAGCATACGTTATACACCGGAATGTATCACATACATACATAAACTTGTAAAAAATTATATTTTTCAAAATATACACGTTAAAGTATAGAGATATTCGTAGACATTCCTCTACCTGACAACATACAGAAATATATATATAATATACGGGCAACCGTTTACAGATGTCGATGAGTTTCGTTCATCCCTTTCTCTAGCACATACATGCACATACACTCATATAACCATAGGTTAGTTCATACATATTTAGATACTCACATATTATATACATATTTGTATAATATTCCGAACACCTTTTTACAGGGAAGTTTCATCAGTTTAAGCGTTGTGTTCCACCGTGCAACACAACATTTCAAAAAGTATTATTACATTCATTATAACAAACAACTAAACATACTATAAAACTTACATATTATTGTATTATATATTATCATTTATTCCCATACATGGTACACATATACAACATTCATACATAAATAGGTACTTTCATATTATATACACCATCACACACATCTAATCTTGTTATACAACTTACATATCAATATAAGACACTTCGTTACATATAGACACACTCACACATGAAATACATACTTTAAAATACTTACTCACATTCACATAGATACATTTAAACATTCCAATACATCCACCCTAAAAAGTATTTTCAAAAGTACAACATCGCTCATCAATTGGTTGTACCTACTACTACAAAATTGTTATGCCCAATAATCATCTAGATAGTTCAATTCTATTATATGAGACCATCGTACCTAAGCTTATAAACACGCATATTATAGAAAAATATCT